CAATCAAATCTCTGTCCCAGATTTTTGCTTTGGGCCCAAATTCATGGGACTGAAAAATTACCTGGGTGGGCTAAATTGGAATGTCCTGACTATGGGTCAGGTAGGTGATCTTGGTTGCCAATATGACCTTTATCAGAGCATAGTTCTAGTTGCCCAGACAACTTTTGTTCTGAGTAGGGAAATTAGATATAACAAAAATGATCCCAAATGGATGAACAATAGATTAAAACATCTCATTGGGATCATTTTTGTTATATCTAATTTCCCTACTCAGAACAAAAGTTGAGATGGGCAGTTAAGAAATCAATATATTCAATTAAAGAGAAATAAAGGAATAAGAAAAGCAAAAAGGGATTATGAGGCTAAGGTCACAAGGGATTCAAAGACTAACCCAAAAGGGTTCTTTTAGGTATACAGAAGTAAGATTAGGGACAAGATTGGCCCACTTAAGAGTAACTCTGGTCAGATCACTAACAGTGATAAGGATATGTGTGAATTTCTTAATACCTACTTCCTCTCAGTTTTCACCCAGGAAAATACTAGCGATATTCCTGAAAAAATAGATTATGCAGAACAGAACGATAATAAACTATGCACGATAGTGGTAACTAGTGACATGGTCCTCAGACAAATAGAGAAACTAAAACCTAACAAATCCCCAGGCCCTGATGAACTGTTTGAAAGGGTATTAAAGGAATGTAAAGAGGAACTTAGCATACCTTTGGCTAATCTTTTTAACATATCACTACAAACTGGCATAGTGCCTGATAAGTGGTAAATGGCAAATGTAATACGTGTACCTATTTACAAGGCAGGTGACAGGTCCTTCACTTCGAACTATAGACCAATTAGCCTTACCTCCACAGTGGGAAAATTTATGGAATCAATAATTGCCGAAGCAATTCATAGCCATCTTGATAGGCACAGATTGATTAACCCTTTGAGGGTTTCGGCCGTACTAGTACGGCTTACAACCCAGGGTTTTTGACGTACTAGTACGCCTAAATTCTAGCACCCTCAAATCTAGTGGGAGAAAGCTGGTAGGCCTACATATGAGAGAATGGTTCTATGTGGTCAGTGTGCGCAGAATAAAAAAAAATCCTGCAGCACACAGTGCATAATGAGAAAAAAAAAAACTCTGACCGTGTTTTTGGAATAAAACAGCGACTTTGCACTGTATTTTCATATGGTATTTATTGTTGTATTCTAGTTTTCTTCATCTCATTTTATAGAATGGAAGACATATTACAGAAACTGAGATGATTTTGACTGGTTTTACAAAGAAAAGTACCTTGAAATTGAGCTCAAAGTAGCAGAAATGTTCAATTTTTACCAAAGTTCAAAAGTAAACAAATCATGCCAAGCGTCCAATACACGTCAACTGATAAGTCTAATATTCTTTCACAAGTGCGCTGATATTATTTATACCATTTTTACACTAATGCAGTAGTCTGCATAACAGTAAATCTATTTTTTGTAAGAATAAAAACTGAAAGTGGAAAGCCAAAGAAATATAAGAGGGGCCTGGGGATGTGACTAACGAACAGAGAACTTGTTATTTTAGTGCCAGGAATGTCTTTCTTGTTTATTCTAGACCCTATTCGGAAATTGGCATCTTTTGAAATTTGTGTGAAATTGGCAAAATTGCTAAATTCTGACCACTTTATTGGATAGTTGAAATCGGTAAATGGGTGGTTTCTTGTACTCATTCGATACAAAAAAAAAGTTCTAGCGAAATAGTTATGATTTTTGTCGACTAGTACATTGGAATTGGCCAAAAATAGAGCTCAAAGTGGGCAAAATCACCGATGCGTAAACATCATCGAGACCGCCAACTTCGCGAGAGCATAATTCCCTAAGTTTTCCATCAAATTTCATACTTTTGGTGTCATTATGATTGGGAAAAGATTCTCTATCTTTTCATAAGAAAAAATAATTTTTTTTTTAAATTTGGCCAACCCTGAGAACAAGTCTCGGAGAGGGCCTGTCGACCCTCAAAGGGTTAATGAATCTCAACACGGTTTTACAAAGCGTTCCTGTCTTACGAATTTTCTAACTTCTTTCACTAAGGTGTTTGAGGAGGTAGATCATGGTAATGAACATGACATTGTGTATATGGACTTCAGTAAGGCTTTCGATAGAGTTCCACACCAGAAGCTATTGAGGAAACTTAAGGCACATGGAATAGGAGGAGAAATTTTTCCTGGGTAGAGGCATGGCTGACAAATAGGCAGCAGAGAGTTTGCATAAATGGGGAGACATCAGAATGGCGGCACGTCACAAGCGGTGTTCCTCAGAGGTCAGTGTTGGGCCCGTTGTTGTTCACAATTTACATAAACGACATAGATGAGGGAATAAATAGCGACATAAGCAAAATAGGCTGTCCAATTCATTCTAATAAGGACACTAGAGCACTCCAGGATGATTTGAATAGACTGATGCAATGGTCGGAGAAGTGGCAGATGCAGTTTAATATAGACAAATGCAAAGTTATAAATGTTGGACAGGTAAATAACCATGCCACATATAAACTAAATAATGTAGATCTTAATACTACTGACTGCAAAAAGGATTTAGGAGTTCTGGTTAGCAGTAATCTAAAACCAAGACAACAGTGCATTAGTGTTCGCAATAAAGCTAACAGAATTCTTGGCTTCATATCTAGAAGTATAAATAATAGAAGGCCTCAGGTTGTTCTTCAACTCTATATATCCTTGGTTAGGCCTCATTTAGACTATGCTGCTCAGTTCTGGTCACCGTATTACAGAATGGATATAAATGCTCTAGAAAACGTACAGAGGAGGATGACAAAGATGATCCCATGTATCAGAGATCTTCCCTATTTATTTTTTTATTTATTTATTTATTAATTTGAACATGATACAGTGAAGTACAAAGTTATTACAGTGCAACACGCCAAAGCCCCTTGTATGCAGAGCATTATGAGCAGGCTTAAAATTAACTTAAGATTAACTAAGCAATGATATATTCAGTGGTAAAAACATTATTGTAAACAGATAACAATTTAGCACAAATGAGTATTACAAAGACAGGTCATATCGTCATTTACTGTGTTGCTGAGCAATCACTAGAATGGAATATTCTGTTAGGTAATGTAATTAAAAAATAAAGTTCGATTGGGTCACAGGTTAGACATTTATGAGATACAATAATGAGAAACATTTACGAGACACAATTTATGAGATACAATTATTCAGTATTGATTTAGCTGTAGGTGAGTAAGTGATTTTTGAGAAGAGACTTGAATTTATAAACAGACAGTGTTTCTTTTATATTCACAGGTAATGAATTCCAGGATAGACTGAGGGCCCTGAATCTGCACTCTCTCAAAGGGCATAGAATTAGGGATGATATGATCGAGGTGTATGAATGGAAAACAGGAATAAATAAAGGGGTTGTAAATAGCGTGCTGAAAATTTCCAGCCAAACAGAACTCGCAGCAATGGTTTCAAGTTGGAAAAATTCAGATTCAGGAAGGATATAGGAAAGCACTGGTTTGGTAATAGAGTTGTGGATGAGTGGAACAAACTCCCGAGTTCAGTTGAGGCTAAAACGTTGTGTAGCTTTAAAAATAGGTTAGATAAATACACGAGTGGGTGTGGGTGGGTGTGAGTTGGACCTGACTAGCTTGTGCTGCTGGGTCTGGTGCCGTGCTCCATCCTTGAGTGGTGACTAGACTGGGTGGGTCATTGGGCTAATCCGGGGGGGGGATTGGGCTAATCTGTGGGGGGGGCATTGGGCTAATCCGGGGGGAGGACACATGGACCTGCTCCGTATGGGTCAGTAGGCCTGTTGCCGTGTTATTTCTTTCTTATGTTCTTATTACACATAGGGGAGCAAGTTTATTTAGGTACAAGTCCCGCAGCTCGACTGGTAGCGTATTCAACTTGCACACTTAGGTCTGTGGGTTGATCCCTGGTACAGCTGGAAACATTAGGATGTGTTTCCTTAAGACACCTGGTCACAGACCGGGCCGCGGGGGCATTGACCCCCGGAACTCTCTCCGGGTAAACTCCAGGTAAACACCTGCTGTCCAAGTTCACCTATCAGTAAAATAGGTACCTGGGTGTTAGTAAATAGGTGTGGGTCGCAACCTGGGACAAAACTGACCTAATTTGCCTCAAATGCTCTACATAAGAAGGGCTTTGTATATAGTAGTGCATGTATGTCACTGACGTCAGCTAGGCCTTGTACATATACTTGTGGAAATAAAGATTATATTATTATTGTTGTGTAAATTACCTAGGATAACCCTCAGTGACTTATTTTCATTGGGGAGGGGAGGGGAGCTCTAAATCCATAGAGTATAGAGTTCCAGGGGCCTGGCATGCTACCAGGATCACCACAAGGGAAGGTAAGAGGTACAACTTTGCCTAACTAAAGTTAGCAAGTAACTTAGCCATTCACCGGTACTGAGACAAGTTTCAAATACAGAACTGTAACTTACTATAACTTAAATACTAACTTACTGTTACCTAAGGAATACTAATTTAAAACAACTTAACGAATACTAGCTTAATGTAAGCTGAACACTCCTCGAGCAACTCTGTCAAGAGGAAGAGGAGGTGGTAAAGGAGGAGGAGGAAGAAGGAAGAGAAGGAGGAGGAAGAGAAGAGGAGAGAGAAGAGGAGAAAGAGGAGAAAGAGAAGGAAGAGGAAGAGGACGAAGAAGAGAAGGAAGAGGAAGAGAAGGAAAAAGAAGACGAAGAGAAAGAGAAAAAAGAGGAGGAAGAGACGGAAGAGAAGGAAGAGGAGGAAGAGGAAGAGAAAGCAAAAGAAGATTGAATCGAGATATGAGATAACGGGAAGAAAGGAGGAAGAAGAGTAAGATAAAGATGAGGAAGATGTGTTGAGAGTGGTAGTAAAGGTATGTGTCTCACCTGGTACCTGACACCTGAGCATGAAGGTGCTACTACCATCACCACCACCACCTCCTCCAGGTGCTTCCACCCCCAACACCTACCACCCAGGGACACCTACCTGGTGTCGAGGGCTGTGTCTATCATGTCCATGGAGGAGTAGAGTTTGCGGGTGGCGGGCGAGGGTTTGTTTGGTCACGAGACCAGTGGGAAGGTCATGTGAGCTCTGCCTCACACTAATGCTTCCTCACCATCACAATATTCACATTCCGACCACAACATTTAACCACCTCAAGCCCTTTATTTCACACATTCCAACTCATGAAAATTACCAGTAAACAATTTTTTATTTTCTCCAACTACTTAACAGCAAAAATCACTCAAAATAAGACGACAAAATCTATATTTTGTGTTCCAATATTGCTGATCGGAATAACAACATGGTGGTCATACTGACTAAGCCTCCATTATCACTTGTTTCTTTATGCACCTCTGGCCTCTCTTTCCTCCCTCTTGTAATGTTTATCTTCTTTATATCTCCCAAAATACCATCTGAGAATTTAAATACCTCAAAATATTTAACACACTCTGGGCAAATAAATGTTAATAAAATTCCTTCACGGATATCATTATTTCTCATTATCTATCAACAATTTACTGAGAGAAAACGTGACCGTCCATATCAAGAGTAACTTATAAGTAAAGTAAACTAAGTATGTAAGTAAAATAAATAAGTGAAATAAGCAAGTAAAGAAATAGCAAGTAAACAGGTAAGCAAGGATGCAAGCAAGCAAATACGCAAGCAAGCAAACAAGTAAGAACACGAGAAAGCAAGCAAACAAGTAAGAACACGAGAAAGCAAGCAAACAAGTAAGCAAGCAAATAAGCAAGCAAACAAGTAAATAAGTAAAGAAGTAAGCAGGTTAGCAAGCAAGCAAGCAAATAAGGAATCAATTAGTAAGGGAAAAGTAAGCAAGAAAGCAAGTAAAATATGTACGTAAGTATGTCAGTAGGTATACCCGGAGATGATATAAACCGGAGATACATGGACAGGGTTTCGGGAGTCAGAATAAGATTTTGTTCGGATTTTTAACCCAGGAGGGTTAGCCACCCAGGATAACTCAAGAAAGTCAGTGCGTCACCGAGGGGACTGACTGTCTAATTTCCACTGGGGTCCTCAATCCTTTCCCCCAGGATGCGACCCACACCAGTCGACTGACACCCAGGTACCACCTACTTGCTAGGTGAACAGGACAACAGGTGTAAGGAAACGCGTCGAAATATTTCCACCCCGCCGGGAATCGAACCCGACCCCTCCACATGTGAAGTGAGAGCTTTACCAGCCAGGCCACGGCCCGGTCTGTGACCAGTCTTAAGAACATAAGAACATAAGAAAGGAGGAACACTGCAGGAGGCCTGTTGGCCCATACTAGGCAGGTCCTTTACAATTCATCCCACTAACAAAACATTTGCCCAACCCAATTTTCAATGCTACCCAAGAAATAAGCTCTGATGTGAAAGTCCCACTCAAATCCAACCCCTCTCACTCATGTACTTATCCAACCTAAATTTGAAACCACCCAAAGTCCTAGCCTCAATAACCCAACTAGGTTTACCTGGAGTTTACCTGGAGAGAGTTCCGGGGGTCAACGCCCCCGCGGCCCGGTCTGAGACCAGGCCTCCTGGTGGATCAGAGCCTGATCAACCAGGCTGTTGCTGCTGGCTGCACGCAAACCAACATACGAGCCACAGCCCGGCTGATCCGGAACTGACTTTAGGTGCTTGTCCAGTGCCAGCTTGAAGACTGCCAGGGGTCTGTTGGTAATCCCCCTTATGTGTGCTGGGAGGCAGTTGAACAGTCTCGGGCCCCTGACACTTATTGTATGGTCTCTTAACGTGCTAGTGACACCCCTGCTTTTCATTGGGGGGATGGTGCATCGTCTGGCAAGTCTTTTGCTTTCGTAGTGGGTGATTTTCGTGTGCAAGTTCGGTACTAGTCCCTCTAGGATTTTCCAGGTGTATATAATCATGTATCTCTCCCTCCTGCGTTCCAGGAATACAGGTTTAGGAACCTCAAGCGCTCCCAATAATTGAGGTGTTTTATCTCCGTTATGCGCGCCGTGAAAGTTCTCTGTACATTTTCTAGGTCGGCAATTTCACCTGCCTTGAAAGGTGCTGTTAGTGTGCAGCAATATTCCAGCCTAGATAGAACAAGTGACCTGAAGAGTGTCATCATGGGCTTGGCCTCCCTAGTTTTGAAGGTTCTCATTATCCATCCTGTCATTTTTCTAGCAGATGCGATTGATACAATGTTATGGTCCTTGAAGGTGAGATCCTCCGACATGATCACTCCCAGGTCTTTGACGTTGGTGTTTCGCTCTATTTTGTGGCCAGAATTTGTTTTGTACTCTGATGAAGATTTAATTTCCTCATGTTTACCATATCTGAGTAATTGAAATTTCTCATCGTTGAACTTCATATTGTTTTCTGCAGCCCACTGAAAGATTTGGTTGATGTCCTGCTGGAGCTTTGCAGTGTCTGCAATGGAAGACACTGTCATGCAGATTCGGTGTCATCTGCAAAGGAAGACACGGTGCTGTGGCTGACATCCTTGTCTATGTCGGATATAAGGATGAGGAACCAATGGGAGCGAGTACTGTGCCTTTTGGAACAGAGCTTTTCACCGTAAGCTGCCTCGGGGCTTTACTCTGTTGACGACTACTCTCTGTGTTCTTTAGTGAGGAAATTATAGATCCATCGACCGACTTTTCCTGTTTTTTCCTTTTGCACGCATGTTTGTGCGCTAATTACGCCATGGTCACACTTGTCGAAGGCTTTTGCAAAGTCCCTTTTATATTACATCTGCATTCTTTTTGTCTTCTTTGTGTCATTTAGGACTTGTCGTAGTGGTCCAATAGTTGAGACAGACAGGAGCGACCTGTTCTAAACCCATGTTGCCCTGGGTTGTGTAACTGATGGTTTCTAGATGCGTGGTGATCTTGCTTCTTAGGCCCCTTTCAAAGATTTTTATGATATGGGATGTTAGTGCTTTTGGGGTCTGTATTCTTTGCTGTTGCTTTACTGCCCCGTTTGGGGAGGGGGGCTATGTCTGTTGTTTTTAGTAACTGGGGGACGACCCCCGTGTCCATGTTTTCCCTCTCCATAGGATGGAAAAGGGCCTCGTGATAGGGGCTTCTTGCAGTTCTTGATGAACACAGAGTTCCATGAGTCTGGCCCTGGGGCAGAGTGCATGGGCATGTCATTTATCGCCTGTTCGAAGTCATTTGGCGTCAGGATAACATCGGATAGGCTTGTGTTAATCAAATTTTGTGGCTCCCTCATTAAAAATTCATTTTGATCTTCGACTCTCAGTCTGGTTAGCGGCTTGCTAAAAAATGAGTCATATTGGGACTTGAGTAGCTCACTCATTTCCTTGTTTTCATCTGTGTAGGACCCATCTTTGTTTAAGTAGGGGCCCAATACTGGACGTTTTTTCTCGATTTTTTTATTTTGGGATAGGAGAAGAAATACTTTGGGTTTCTTTCGATTTCATTTATGGCTTTTAGTTCTTCCCGCGATTCCTGACTCCTAAAGGATTCTTTTAGCTTAAGTTCGATGCTTGCTATTTCTCTGACCAGTGTCCCCTACGCATTTCAGATATATTGACCTCTTTTAGCCGCTCTGTTATTCTTTCCGTCGCCTGTAAAGGGAGCGCCTGTCTCTTTCTGTTTTACATCTACTCCTCCTTTTTCTTAGAGGAATAAGCCTTGTGCAAAACATCGAGTGCTACCGATTAATCTGTTCTAGGCATAAGTTGGGGTCTGTGTTGTTTAGTATATTTCCCAGCTTATATCGGTTAGGATTTGGGTTTACTTGGTCCCACTTTATGTTTTTGTTATTGAAGTTAAATTTTTGGTGAATGCTCCCTCGTGACTAATCTCATTATGTCGGCCCTGGGGCTCCGCGCATACATGATGAACCTCAATTAGTTGTGATCGGGAGTATATTGTTTTTGATATGGTGAATTTCTTATCAGATCATCATTGTTAGTGAAGATGAGGCTAGTGTATTCTCCAGTCTAGTAGGCTCTATTATTTGCTGGTTTAAATTAAATTTTGTGCAGAGATTTAAAAAAGCTCGCGTGAGTGTGAGTTTCATCAGAGTTTGCTCCTGGTGTTATTACTGCAACAATTATTTGCTATATTCCTCCATTTTAGGTGCCTTAATTTTGAAATCCCCCAGGAGCAAGATGTTGGGTGCAGGAGCTGGAAGGTTTTCCAGACAGTGGTAATTTTTAACAGCTGTTTCCTGGAATTGCTGGGATGTTGATCTGGAGGCTTGTAGGGCTATCACAATGACTAGTTTTGGTTCTCGACCTTTACTGCTAAAACTTCCACTACATCATTTGAGGCATTTAGCAGTTCTGTGCAAACAAGTGACTCTGCAATGTACAGGCCACCCCCCCCCCCTTTTTCCTGTTCACTCTGTCACATCTGTATAGGTTGTAACCTGGGATCCAATTTCATTGTCCAAGTGATCCTTTAAAGTGGGTTCAGTGAAAGCCGCGAACATTGCCTTTGCCTCTGCAAGCAGTCCACGGATGAAAGGTATTTTGTTGTTTGTTGCTGGCTTTAGACCCTGTATATTTGCAAAGAAGAATGTTATCGGACTGGTGGTATTGTTGGTACTGGGGGGGGATTTTTTTTCCGGCATTAGTATCTGTATCTGTTGGGTTTTGGGGTGGAGGCCATCGACTGTGGTTCCACTCCAGGAATGACTGGATTTGGTGTACGATTTCTGCCATTTCCTGCCAGTCTTTTTTCCTTCCTGGCACTAAAAAACCTGTTCCACTCATCAACTACCCTATTTCCAAACCAATACTTTCCTATGTCCTTTCTAAATCTAAACTTATCTAATTTAAATCCATTACTGCGGGTTCTCTCTTGGAGAGATATCCTCAAGACCTTGTTAATATCCCCTTTATTAATACCTATCTTCCACTTATACACTTCGATCAGGTCTCCCCTCATTCTTCGTCTAACAAGTGAATGTAACTTAAGAGTCTTCAATCTTTCTTCATAAGGAAGATTTCTAATGAACATTAAAATGGTATAAAATACCGACAGGTTGTTAGGTAAGACACATATGCAACTGTTGCATATGTGTCTTACCTAACAACCTGTCGGTATTTTATACCATTTTAATGTTCAATCTGTCAGACACTGCAACACAAGGGTATCTTGGTACAGACCTGCAATCAACTTCGACAACTTCCACTAGTGAGAGCGGCTGGATTTGAGAGGGACCTGACCTCTCAACATCTGAGTTCTTACCTCTTCTAGTGACCTACGTCTCACCTCTTGGCGCTATATAAAGGCTCCATCCTGTCACTTCATCTCCATATTGTTTCATTCTATGG